GGACACACGTAGACCAACACCATGTGGTTCAAAGGGCAACTGTATTTTGTTCATTGATATCTTTTAACCCTGATGCTTCCACATATGAATAGAGTTTCCCCCTCCTTTGAATGCCCCCTGTATTTTATACCTACTTTGTTTATTGCACATTGTATTTTCATTTCATAGTATCTGTATCTATATCTATATCCACATCATCTCTTTCTGACCAAATGCTAAACTCCAGGAGGTGGGGCCCATGTCCACCCTGCCTTTGTATACCCTACACTGTTCAGCTTAAGAGGCATCCAGAATGTGTTGAATGAGTAAAAGGTTTTTTTTAATTAATTTATTTTTTCCATTGTTTTTTATTGAAGTCTAGTCAGTTTACAGCGTTGTGTCAATTTCTGGTGCACAGCATGGTGTTTCAGTTATACATGTACATACATATGTTCCTTTTCATATTTTTTCATTATAGGTTTAATTAATATTTGCTTTCAAATGCAATCACTAGACTCAGTTTAAATGTTTTAAGTTGCATACACCTCATTTTTATCTGGAAGATTCCTGCTGGTAATGACTGAAAGGAGTACTTGAAAGGCGAATTTCTCAGTCCTCTGGGGATAAATAGAACACCACACTTGTTAATGTTTGTTATATTTCATTACAACAATAATACATATTCATTGTAGAAAATTTATATATTACAGATACGCAATAGGAATAAATCACAGTCTCCTATAATCTTAACTCAGAAATAACCACAGTCACTGTTTTAGAGGAGTTTGTGAAGCTGACTTTACGTGCATATTTTAAAGCATTGAAAGCTAATTTGCCCTTTAGGAAGGGCAACTATTCTGTGCTCCTTATTTTGGCATTGAAAATATTAATCCTCTCAAAATGTGTAGGGGAAAAAAATCACTCCTTTATAAATGTACATTTCTTTGCCTAATAATTTAGTTGAATATTTTTTCATGTGTTTACTGACCATCTATTTCCTGCATGAATCGCCTCTTCACATTTTGCTCTGTTTTTCTATTGGGATATATATCTCTCTCCTTTTAAAAAATGACTTTTGAGAGCTGGCTGTGTATTAATAAACATTTTCTCCAGTCACGTGTCTGCCTTTTAACATATTTCCTTTCAGAGTCACTGATCCCTAGGAAGAAGCTCTAATAAATAGAGTGAAAGTCAACTCTGTGACCACGTCTTCCTCTCATTTCTAATGTCAGGAGCTAGAATGTCTTCCAAGAATGGAAGCAAACACAGCAACCACCAGTGGAATATTATCTCTAGGGGAAGAATTATTTTCTGAAACAATGGTAAGAAGAGCATTTAAATTTTTTAAATGCGCTCGCTTACTTTAACTGATTACTAAAAATTTGGAACTAATACGATGGCTTTCTTTTTACCCTTATTCGTATGATAGGGCTATCACGTCATACTGGCTAAAAAGGAACAGGATGGAAAGTGCATGCTCACGATGACAAGTCAGAGCTGGTAATTACAGCTACAGTGACATCTGTTCCTCCACTAAGGATGCACTGAAGTATTTTCACGGAGTTTTAGGAGAGTCAATGCATGACTGTATCCCATCCATTCAATAGAGAATGAGCACTCATGGTTCGGGAACTAAGAAGTTAGCTGGAGGCAAGGCTGAAATTCTTTCTTCTTGGAAAATGGAAACTCTGATGGGGGAGAAAAGTCAAAGAAATTACAGAAGGGAAAAAGCAAAGCAACGCGGCTGGGCGTCCCGAAGTACACCGAAATGAAGAAAGGGAAAAAGAAATAGCCCAGTTAAAACAGAAGCAGCTAACGCAACATTGTAAATCAACTATACTTCAATCTTTAAAAATTAAAAAAAAAAAAGACTGTCAAATACCACCAAAAAAAGTAAGCGCAGAACTTTGTGTTATCGAACAAGTTCAGTAGCAAGTCTTTTTTTTTTTTTTTTACGGCATGATGACACTTCTGCTCCTCCAAAGAATAATTGTGTCTATGACTTTACAGAATCCTTTGTCTATTTAATTTGTTTGATGAGAATGTTAACAGTTTTCCCATTAAAGTACATTTTAAAACATTAAAACAAAAAACAAACGATTGAGAAGTGAGGCTTAGAAAAAAACTCCTTCTTTAAATTTCTAATCATGGTTCAATTATCAAAATGTGGTGCAATGTTAATTTAAATTGTTTTAAGTTATGTAAGTGGGGCATTAAAATATGGAACAGTTTTTTAAAAATGCATTTCAAATGGAATTTATCCTGCATATGGCATAAAAATGCTAGTTCGACGTGTCTCCCATGGGGCATAAATATTGAAAGGAGTTTGTGTTTGAAATTTTAAAAATTTTTTTAAGGCACGCAAGGGTACAACTAAACTGGGCATTAGAGACCCTACAAGTTGTTTGCTGGAATTCAGAGTCCTGTCAGATTCCCGTATTATTTTCAGATGTTCATACCAGTGGTAGCTTCAGAAGCAAGCGGAAAGGTGGTTCATTTATAACGGTATGTAGGTTAGAGAAATAAAAGCTGCTTGGTTAGGGGCTCTTTGACTTGAAGTCACTGTAAAATTCAATGAAAACAATTGGATAAAGGACCAAGACCTCGGGATTCGACAGCCTGTGATCATGAAACCAGCCCAGATTCGAACACTTTTCTGAAAGAGGAACACAGGAGTATTTTATTTATTGATCTGAGGATGCTGGTGTTATCTAGGGACAAAATAAGCACAGACATGAATACTTTTTAATTTTATTTGTTCATTTCTCACTTTCTTCTGAACTCTTGTTTAGTTTAACACTAAGTAGGAAAAGGAGCAATTCAAGACAGAAACAAAAATGTAAAAGTATTTGGCTAGTTCGAAAACCTCTGAAAGATTATGAGATTATTAAAATGTATAAGAAAGTCATGTAAGATGAAGTTGATTTAATTGTATTAAAACACACATTAGAGGCAAAATGTCCAGCTTCCTGTTAAATAGTTTTAAAGTCTTCCTTTAAATAGTACTAATTAAATATAAATGTAAAGTTAATAATCTCTGAGAGAAATAAAGCCTGGATGCTTTTACTTCAACTCACTAGCAAAATTAAAAGATAAAGTACAATTGCTTAGTGAGAAAAAAAAAAGATTCAGATCAGGGTAATACTATTTAAAAAATCAGAGAAAGATCGGCACAAGTCTGATGCAGGTTTGTGAACCGTGTTTTCCAAATGGCCATCTGAGCGGTGTGACTCGTGTGACATCCTCCTTCCTTGGCCTCTTTCCACAGTGAACTAAAAACCAGTGATGAAAATCACAGGAGAAGAAAACACACCAGGAGGTTTTAAGTCCTGACATAGAAACTTGGTTTGCATCACCATGGATGCAAGACTCCGAAACTGCAGGGATTTTGATCACGCTGAAAGACAGGTTTAAAAACCACTTCTCGTTGACTCTTTAAGAGTTTCACTTCCATGAAGTGGAAACAGCTATCTTCTAATTTTTTTAACATTTTGATTTTTACCAGCCTAATTTTCTTTATTTCCTGATCTGTGAGCCCAGACCATTTGTGAACCCTATTTCTATGGTTTAAGATGACTATTACCTTAATGATATTAACTGTTAGTGATAAATAGTATAATTTATTCTTATTTATCTCCAACTGTGCCAATACTGAGCATTAAACAAATTTGTCTGTTTTTAATGCCTGAATTCTATAATGGTTTCACTTTTCTTTCAAATATATATACATATATATATATACACACACAATATGTATTACAAATATAGATGCATACCTACTATATATAATCTGTCTACCTACACATACACACATACACCTACACCGACCTGCAGAAAAATGTCACCTTCACATGTTCCAAGGAGTCCCAAAGACTCCCAGATCAAAATCCAGGATCTGCAGTTTCAATTCACAGAAAGATACAATATTTAAAATCACATAATACTTTTGTGGACTCTGAGACAAACCATGTCCCACCAACCTGTATCCACGCACATGATCAGAATCCGGCAGGCTCTCTTTGATGAACTTTATAGAAACAGAAATAAAAGTAAAAACTGAAACATAAATGACTTTCCCTTTTAGCTCAAGTGTTAAAAAAAACTAATGATCTACCTGTGAATGGACGCCACATGCCATACTTTGAAGACACTTCCTAACCCAAGTGAGACACTATGGATAGGCACTTGCATCCATCCGTCATCCTATCTGTGAAACCGCTAATAAAACAGAAACCTGAAAGGCATTCTTCGTGGCTCCCAGGCGACAGGGCTGTAATTAAGCAAAACCTGGGCGCGAGTTGGCGGAGTCCTGTCTGGCGGAGTCCTCCGTCCCCGCCGAGTGGGAGGGTCACACGGGAGAGACTAATAAGGGCAGGGATGCGTTCCCCTTCCCACTCGCAGGGCGCTCAGTCCCGGGGTACGGCAGCCCGGCCCGGACTCCACTGC